TTCGTATCCATCAGCACGAAGTGCTCTCCTTGCCGCAATATGAGCTGTTTTTTCAGGCTCTAGCGCTGCGGCCGCGGCCTGGCTCCGGCCACGCTCCGGCCCAGCTTCTGCTCTCATGGATGATGTGTTGCCTCTTTTTGCGGCAGGGTGTGTGAGGGTGTCCGACGATGCTAGTCTTGCCATGAAGCGGCCAGAAATGAAGATGCTAAGCGGGATGTTTTTGCTGGGTCTGACTGTCTATTAGTCGTCGCACAAACGTTCGCAATGGTTGGAGATGTTGCTCTGGACGCGCTTCGCGAGAATTGGTAACCAATGTGGAATTGCGTTCGCGTCTGAGACCAACTGATCTGACCTAGGACGCTTCTGTACGCAGTATGCATATGAGGTGCCAATGAAGTGTCATCCTTCAGGTTTTTGTCTCGTGAGGTTTATTAAAGTTTGTCAATGGCAACATTCTGATGGACGTTGATGCACCACCCGTGCTTGTCGTCATGCTTCCACTGGACGCGTTGACCTACGAAAAGGCAATCATTTTTGTCTTCGGAACCAAATTGAAAGTTTTTACGAATTCGTCCCATGGTTTCCTCCTGAAACACAGCGCCGCTTGTCATAAGAAGATCGTCTACGTGAAGAGAAGGTGCTCCAAACTTGTCGATTCTAGGCATTGTTGCCGGAAACAGGATCCATGAGGGAATCAACTGCGCCTTCTAAACCGAACAAACTGGGGGATTTCTTTTTCCGGACCGGTGTGGATTTCGGAAGCTGTTTGCTGTAGTACACATATGTACATCAGCTTGCTTTTTTTGAAGCAAGTCCGTAGGATGCAGGCTTTCTTCACGCGTGCGCCAATGTTTGATGGATATCCCATTTCAGGAGTCTGACAGATTATGTCTCGGTTCTGGTCGTAGGCCTGTCCTTAAAAATGGCAGTGTTCAGATCCAGAGAAAAAATGACGTTCAAGCCTTTGACTGCTGCTGCTTGGGTTGTTAGGCGGAAACCACTCCCGGATGCGGCAGGACTGTCTGTCTGCTGTTCATCCTTATCCTGTCTTGGAATCCTCGAAAGACCTAGCGAGCCTTGGTCTTCAGGAAGTTGCTGTCTTGTCTGTCTCGTTTTAGGGTAAGGGCCCAACGACCGGTGATCCAGCTTCTGGACTTGAATGTTCATGCGTTGACTTTGTCGAACGCTTCATTATCAAGCCAAGATTGGCGCTCCAGATCTTCGGATTCACCGTCTCCTTGGCCAGTATATCTCACGGTTCTCTGATCTTTGAATCCGTTGATGCTCGTGTTTCACCGAGCTGGCGAAATTCTTGCATTTCCTGAACATCGCAGGATCTGCTGCGTGCAACGCAGGCGCCAGATCCTGGATGTCTTACGATTTTCAATCATGAAGTGTCTCTTGTGCTTCAGCTGATATCGTGCGATGCTACTTGTTGGATGTTGCGCATGTTTGACCATGGGCCGCGCACTAGTGCCACGAGCGTGACATCAGGTGCTTGTTCCTTCATGATCTCCATGACCATGTGTCGCCCCTTGGATGTCATTACGTCAAATGCGGATGTTGGCAGGTGTTCCAACCTTGTGATTTGCAAGTGCGCAGCGCTGGCTGAATCTTGCGCTTCCTGCAAAGATCTCCAGCACATGAACTTTTTCCTTTGTGTGCAGAAATTCAACGCGCCTCCTCAGGAATGGATGTGAGACCCACTGCAAACTTGTTCTCCGCCGGTTTGGCTTGGGAGTTTGTTTCCCCGTCGATGCGTAACGGCCGTGAGGCGAATGGCTTATGGCCGGCACGCATGGCCCTTTTCCTCTGGACTTGAAGGAGGACCTCCCGCGTTCCTTCGAACACATGGTTTTCCAGGTGGGATGGTTTCATCCTTTCTGACTTTTGTCATGTTTGCCTTAATGAGCCCAGTTCCAAGATCAAGTCCAACATTGCTCCTTCGATGGAAATGACCTTCTCTTTTAGCCGTAGGCCTCCTTTGCTTCCATCGGAACGAATCTTGGATCTGTTTCTGACAGTAGAAGACCGTGTCCTGCACCTGAAGAGGCTTGGAGCTCATTAGGAGATTTTGAGCAATGTCTCTTAAGTCTTCTGACTGCTTCTCGGAATGCTTGCTTGGACAGCTGCTTGGTCTGAATTGCTGTCAGCTCTGCCTCGTTCCTGCTGACCGTCCATTGTGTAGGTGTTGCGACAGCCAGCCGGATGAGATCTGCTGGTGAGTGCAAGTTCCAATGGTGTATCGCCCCGTAGGTGACAGTCTTGGCAAGTTGTCTGTGTGTGACCTTCTTGAGAGAGGCAGGTGATGTCCCTGCCTTGATGGAGTTGAGCATGATCTTGAGTTGTGCCTGCAAAAGACGTACTGTTGCTTCAGCTCGAGGCCAGATTGATGTCGAGGGGTTGGTAGAAGTGCTCCCATGTCTCAGTCATGAAAGCTTGATCTGCGACAACTGATCTGGGCTGCAAGTAGTTGACTCCTTCGCCGAGATCTTGCAACCGTTGTCAAGGACTGCCTTGCACACGCAGGCATCTCCCATGATCCTTTTGAGGAATTGCTTAAATCGTGGCGAATGACGTCCAATCAGCCACAAGTTCCTCACGCCTGAATGAGCTGACTTTTCCGTCGAAGGCTGTCTGGCGGGCATCGACAAAAAGGAAGGTCTCTTCAGTGATACCGACTGTTCGGTTTGACTGATGACATCTTGATTTGGATGGCTCCGGTCTCGTTATGGTCTTTGGATCTGTTTCAAGGGGATCCAATGATGTGTCAAAAATGGATGTAGACGCAAGGTTCCTTTTGTCCTCACCAGCGCAATAGCCAAGTACGGTGCAACTAAGAAAGGCCTTGAGCCGAAATGGTTGTGGGAGGACCAATGTTGCGGGTGTGGGGCCGCCGTACGGATGGCGAAAACAGCCCTAGTAAAAGGCGAGCGCGACCTCACTCGCAAAAAAGCAATCGGAAATCCTGTTACGACGAAGTGGCCCCCCGCTTGTTGCAATTATTCCGGCGCTTTCCAGACACTGCTCTTTAGCGTCCTGCTTTTTCTGGAGGGCGCCGCAAGGAGTAATAAGAACTGTCTTCGTCGGGGTCTTCGCCCGACTGGCTTTTTTTTTGGTTGATGCTAGTTTCTACGAGACGTGTGGGGAATGGTTGCGCGCCCTCGCCTTTTCCAAGCCCGCTTGCGGCGGCCCTTGAATCGCTTCCAAGCAGGGCTGCTGCTTGAGGGGATTGAGCCTTCGCGCCAAAAGCGCAGTGCAATTTTCTGCGGGACGGCTTAGGGACGTGGAGCACGGAGAGAAAGGTTGGCAAACAGATTGCCAGTCAGCCGTGTGAAGTTGCATGTTGAGCTGCATGTTGCATGTGCGTCATGCGCGCTACACTCCGCAGGCCTTGGGCTTGCTTCTGAGCCTTGAGAACACACCCGCTCGGCCCGCCCAGCGCTGCGCGCGCGCCAGCCTAAATCCCTCACAAACGCCAGCTCAGCGCTGCGCAAACGCCAGCCAGCTGCGCGCAGCTAATCCGCTCACACGCGCCCGCCCAGCGCACGCAGCTGCGCCACCAAGTTACATTCCAAGTGCAAATGTAGCGATGCTTTCAACAGCAATCAAATCTGTAGTCTGCCCTGCCTATCGCACTGGCATGCTGAACCTACGCGTGCCACAGGCGGAGCGCGTGAGAGGGTGTTCCTACTCTTTCGCCAGCACGCGCGCATGGTCCCGACTGCGCTTGTGCGCAGGGTGTCTTCTCAAAAAGCTGCATGTTCCCTTGGCGGAGCGCGTGAGCGGGCGTTCTTACCAGTGTTGCCAGCACGCGTGCAGGGTCACGACGACGCGTGCGCGAAGTGTGCTGGCAAGTTTGCGAAACGTGAACGAGCCATCTTTGAGCTGTGGCTTGGCGCATTGTACTACATCGGGAAAATCCAACAAGCTACATTAACTACCTATTGGCGCAGGAGCGATAAGTAGCTTCCACAACGACTGCGTCTCCTACTCCTCTGAACTTACTACCCACCTGCGCTACATCCTGACACACGACTCCAGTGACTTTGACGGGACCTGTGTGCAACACTGTCAACGCGACGCAACCGCATTTGGAACCACGCTCCACTACACATGCCCATGCAGACCACCAGAAATCACATCACTGCATCACGGAGAAGACTTGTGAGTACTACAGACACACATTGTTGCAGTCACTACAGCTGAACAAATCACAGCTACGAAGACTTCTTGACTGCGTCGCAAGTCACAACATCAAGAGTGACGCGAGAGCGCTACGAGGCTCAGAAGCCTTCCTGGCTGCTCATCTACGACGACCTGAGTTGGACTCAGTTGCACTACCAGCAACAAGACCAGTGGAGACGACCGCACTGGTGGTTCAACCCGCACCTTGTGGACACTACACACTTCATTGCCATCATGACTGCAGGTCCACTACATTCAGGACTGAGAGCAAAAACCGAAGTTCGCTTTCGATTTAATTTTGAATCAACGTACACTTTGTTCAGCGCACGAAAGTTGAACTGCAGCCTTTGACGGACTACGCGAGCTGTCTTCATTACCGTCAACCCGCTCTTGCAAAAAATGCACTGACGCATTTGCCCCTTTTCATTTTGAGCCAGTTCAAGGATACCGCAGAATCTTTCAACTTAGGAGGCTTGTCATATTGGGTGTCGCGCTACTTGTTGCACGCGCGTGACGCACGCTACACTCCGCAGGGCAGACTACACCTTCGCGCGTGTTGAACCAAGGGAAGTGATGGAATTGAAGGGAGTTGAAGGGAAGTGAAAAGAAACTAAAGAGACACGATGGAGATGAAGGGACTGAGGGAGATGAAGGGACAAGGAGGGACACGAAGGGAACTGAAGGCGCTGAAGACGGAGGCAGACAGACAGACACACAGGCAAAAACACTAGTCCTGGCGCAGAGAGCAGGCTTGCTGGGTAAACGGATGGATGGGAAGTGGTGAGTTTGGATGGGATGGGGAACGCGGCCAGTCTCCATGCTCGACTCCAGAGAAGCTCCTATGCCTCCTGAAGATGCACTGCTGCTCTTGCAGGCGTCGGTTTGCGAGAGTTTTGCATTTTTGACAAAAGGGGAGAAACGGTGGTTCGGGTTTTGCAGGGCCCTGCCTTGCGGGACTCGCCCCGCAGCGCCTGAGGATGGCAACGCTCGTTTCGTCAAGGGCACGCCGATGGCCGTCCGCAACTTGGACTTTGGAATTGGCCAGCCTCGCTGCGAGGGCTGAGGGCGCATGTTCCGGCTTGGCAGCCTTGTTGTCCCCGCGTTTCTCAACTGTCCGTTCACCGTTTTTGCTTCATCAAGCCTTTTGCTTGACGATCTAGTCAGCTTGACTTCTTTTTTGCTCTTAGTTGCTCTCTTGCTCAAAGCACCCTTTGGAGACTTTTGCAGGCGCCCCTTTCAAGCTGGCTTTGTTGTGTAGTGGAGATGCACGACCTGTTAGATTTTTGCCACTTGCGCCTGGTTGCGCACTCGGATCATCAGCTATCACAGATTGCTCGAGGAGGTGGCGTTGGAAGGCTTATCTTGGATGCCCTCGGCGAAGACAAACAGGGGTCAGGGCCCCACCTCAACAGGCCAGCGCCGCTCGCTGAGAATCGGCGCTAGGAACCAATGATGCGGCGCGGCGCAACAAGGTTGATTTGGAGCAGCCTCCCCACGCTGCCATCGTGGGGTGCTCTGACTGCTGCGCGCTGGAAACCATCTTCGACTCTTTGCCAGGCGCGGAATGTGCGAGGAGCAGGGGCCTTGCAGAATTTGGTCAAGGCTGTCTTTCTCGAACTTGTTTGTGCTTGGCTTGCCAAGACACCAAGACTCATCGATCAATGTTCGAGATGCAAAGCTAGTGTGAGCAGAGGCCAGCCACAGGGTTCATTGGCTTGTGTGTGTGTGCCTGTGACCAGAGCTGCCCCTTATTGCGCGGTATGATTTCAAAGACAATAGTAACCGTGCGCGCAGCAAGTGGGCAAATGCCCTTTCCTGCGCATGCGCAGGCTCAGTTGAGGTTTGCTTCTGCGCAAGCTCAAACAATGTTTTGTCATGTCGTTTGATTGAGAAGCCAAGCAACAAGAAAGCAACAAGGAGGTTCACTAAATAGTTCCCACGTGTTTTTTACGAATGGGTGGGGCCATGCAAGGAACGGGGCGAGCGACGCTCGCACGTAGCTAATGTTTCTGCTGCAAAGCAACGTGTTGCGAACGGTTCGCTTTACTACTATCGCGACTGCTGCCACTACCGTACAACTACCACTGATATGGTTGGAGGTTGCACCACCACGAATACTCTACTACTTGTAGGAAAGACAAGTTTGAAGCGCGACGCGTACAACGCAAAGCCGGTTCAGCAGCTCCAGCTTGAAGTTTGCCAGGCTTTAGTCGCAGTTCGGCACGCAGAACACGCGGAGAAACTTGCGCGGAGAACTTGAGCAACGTACTTGCGTGGAGAAACTCGGGCAGACAACTTACGCGGAGAAGCTTGCTCGAATAACTTTGCGCAGAGAAGCTTTCACAGAGAACATGCGCAGAGAAGCTTGGTCAATGATGTTATCAAACAGTCAGAACGTTGCATTGTGGTCGGAATGCGGGCCTTTTATTTGAATTCTGCCACTTAGGTCAGTTGGGTCACTTGGGTCACTTGCTTTCCTGGTCTCGTCCGGCTCCAAAAAGGCTAGTGTGACGTTTGGGTCACTTGGGTCACTTGGGGTTGCCCTGGTTCGCGCGAGTATCAGAAAGGTCGGGGTCCCGCTAGCAGACTCTCTTGTGACGCACGCGGCCCAAGAGTTCAAGCGACCCCACATGCCCAGGTGCCGCTAACAGACTCTCTCGTGACCCAGACCCGCGTGACAAGTGACCCAAGTGGGCTCAAGTGACCCAAGTGAGCCAAGCGACCCCAGGTGTCCAGGTGACCCAAGTGCCCAATTTGTCTGCGAGAGCCACAATCACCACCGAACAAATAAGTGAAGGCTTGTAAGGAACAGTTCCGAGCATTGTTTCAATGGCTGTGGATATCCGCCCCCTGTGTTTATGTTGGAAATGATGATGAAATGCCAGAATTGGAACCCTTAAAACAAGAAAAGGAAGGGGAAGATGAATAAGAACGAGAAGAAGACCCTGTTGTTGAAGTAGAAACATTGAAACAGGTTAAAGATGATGACGATGACGCACAAACAACCGCTACTACATCTGAAACAATGGAAACGAACGAAAAAACCCCAGAAATGGAATTCCAAAATGTTGAAAATGAAGATGTTGATGATTCACGATGTGGCCGGTATATTTAGCAAAAAACCCAAGAAGCTTAATGGATAGTATAATTTCAAGATTTCATTTAATTGAATGTCATCTAATGCTGATAAATATGATGAGTTCAATTAATTGTTAGAAGAATTTAGCAATACAGAAGGAGCAGAAAGAAAAGGAGCTAAGGTTAAACTACAAAATATTATGAGGACACTGGTTATGATAAATACTTCGTCCATAAAGTAACTCAACAATAAATAACCCATAACATGTAGTATGACTGATACATATTTTGGATTAAGACGACGACCTACGTTTGATGAAATGCTGAAAGAAGCGATGACACACATTAAACATTGAAATCATCCCCGAAAGACAGACAGTTGACACATCAATTAACAATATAGACTTTGATGATTTTGACCTTTCAAAATACGACAGGAGACTACGGTTGAATGTTAGGGCCCACGCGGATACACAAGTGTTGTTCATGAATTGTCGCCAGAAATGTTTGGTGAAGTAGCACCGACCTCACTATTGTATGAAACCAACGAGGCAGACACAAACAACACGATGTGTAGCAAAAGGGTTAAATGATGAAAAGTTCAGTGGTGTCATTTCATACAAGAATGAGGAAAAGAAGTTAGATGAACCAGAAGGTGTAAAAGATAAAGGCATAAAATAATCTGATGAAAATCAGGAAGATTTACAAAGTCTTCATGTAACATCGTCATCGTCAGCATCAACCAAGAAAGAGGAAGATAATAAAGAGTTTTAGTTGGAGAAGTCAAGAGTGTTTGAATTATTCAATCGAGAAAAGAAGTCATCCTCACCACCCATTCAACCCGAAGAACAAGAAGAACAACCAAGAGCATCATTATGGACAATACGACAGGTAGAAGCTAGAAGCAGAAATCACCCACCGGAAGAATGAGCAAGAGGTAATCAATGGAACAGAAGACAAATGGACACGAGAAGTAGGAGCAACTCACCCTAAGAAATAGCAAGAGGCAGTGAATGGACGAGGGAACAAATGGAAACAAGAAGCAGGAGCAGAAGCCCAGAAAGTGCTGACACAAAAGTAGTCGTGGTAAGAAGAAAAAATAATTAATATTGTTTTCATTCAAAATAATTATATTTCAATTAAAATTATATTTTTTCAATTAGCGACAGCAACCATCGTATATTCTGTTTTGTATTTCTGCTCGAGTGAAAATTTGACTTTTCAAGTTCTGGTTCTCCCTTCTCTCTCGTCCCTTCGGTTTCTTTTGCTTCTCTCTCTGCTTTCTTCTTATGATAAAGTGCTTTACCTGTTATTCTTTTCTCCTTCTTACTCTTTCTATGTATTCGGGGTCTTCTTCTGTTCTCTTATGATACAACCATGAAAACAACGCCATTTGCTCCCTAATTTCATTCAATGTCAGATCTTCTGGCTTCTGTGTCATTATCTTAAGTACATTACAAAACATTTTTAAGACTGTTTAAATAGTTATAGCCAATTTAAGTTTAAGACGAAAGCATTTACAGAAATATTTTTTAGAAACATAATATACTTATAATCATGATTACAAAACTTAGCATAAACTATATTCCAGACTTAAGAAACACGAGAGATAGGAAAATAGGCAGAGTGCCACCCGACATACAAACGAAAATCACTAACATGGTTGATGTATATGAAGACCGCAAGATTTCACAAAAAGCAACCGCTGTTAAATTGATAAATGGCATCAGCATCAATGACACAAGAAAAAGAAAACCGGGAGTAAGGAGATATGAAAAGGCGGTGGCAAAGTATGAAGAAGCAGAATCCATCACCAAAAGAATGGCAAGGGCAGCAAAGAAAGCAAGGACTGGAAAGGAAGTTAAAGCAGTGGTTACAACACACGACAAACAACCAATATTCAAGAGAAAGGCATTAGCGGGTTTAGAAAGTAAGGCAAAGGATATTTTCAAGAATAGGAAGAGTTATGATGTAAAGCTTATGCAATTTTCAGGTGCTAAGAGAGATGGAATAAACAAACCAGATGGTATAGCATATTATCCTTTGTTACTGAATATATTGAAGCAGTAGTAAGTAGACTTTGATGAGCACCAGTAGCGAATTTGATGATACAGGGCATCTGGTAGAATACGCTGACGTCATTTGAACTGAAGAAGTTGAACTTGTTGAAACTGACACCTCAAGCCACGATGAAAGAGAGCAACAGTTAAGGGAAAGTCAGAACTGTTATAGATACATCCAGACCGAAGTTGATGCCGATGCTTTAACAATAAAAGAAGCATTACAGAAGAACAAAAACAGAGAGAATGAATGCTGGATAAATGCTTTACTGGATAACTTTGAAGGGACAGAACTGACAAGAGAGAAGCGACAGCAACATAATGTATAAACAACATTACCCCGAAAGAAGGTTGTAGAACTGCTGGAAATGACAGAACAAAATTTACCAATAATGGGGCATCAATAAACCAAATGTAAATTCTTCAATATCCCGGTCAGACTTTCTAACTTTACAGGAGGTTTGATTTATCAACATAATCCCGAAGACTACAAAAAAGGAAGAGTTAAAATGCTTAGACGATTAGTTAAGAATAAGCATATTTATTTGTTAAATCATGATTTAGACACATCAAGGCAAATAAGTCCATCAGAGGAAGGATTTAAAGCACCGCTCGGGGAGCAAGGCTCCCCGGCTGCTCGTGAGGCAAAGCCCCGCCAACCGACTACTGGTTGGGATGAGGACACGCCCTCACCCCCAGCGCTTGGGAAACAAAGTTTCCCAACCGGAAGATTTTACATTCCTGACAAAAATGAACCTTATTAAGTATAAAATGTTTGATGATGTAGATGATGTATTACAAATTTGCGGGATGAAGAAGAATACGCCTTAATACATTCTGAAAACGATATGGTAAAGTATTTCATCAACTCAACGAAGCGGGATACAAACCCTACATTAAATAGCACTTGCGGAAAAATCTCTAATATCATGTGTAAATTCTTCTATAAGAAAACCAAGCAACGTATCAATTACAATATGGTATCCCAGAGTTTATCTAATATTTTTAGTGCTATGTTCCGGTTTCAAAACGACATGTTTAAGGAAACCCATTTATCATATTACGACGAAATTGATATTAAGATATTGAAGGAGTGTAAACCATCCTGCCCGTCAGGATTTTGGATTTGAATGCTAATGTTAAGAAGTTGAGGGAGGTTGACATTAGAAATGCATATACTTTTGGCGGGCGTTGTATGAAACACGTCCCGAGATTTGCTGAATTGGATATTTTTAAACAATTCAGTGATGTGTGTAATATGAATAGTTCCATTCATTTAACTTTGTACATTGTAGAAGTCTATGAGGGAAGCATAATTGTTAACAAGAAAAATATTTTACCAAGGATATTATCAAGAACATTAATTTAGCAATGAAAACAAAATGGATAAAGTCATAATTCCTACTGGTGATACTAGCT